CTGCGTCGCCCCTGCGCCCAGCACGCCCCGAGCAGGTATCTGGGACACCTCACACCCTGCCCTGGGAGCTGGTGTCCCCAGGCCCAGGCAGGGCAGGCTCAGCTGGGCTCGGCCTGCCAGTGCTCGCCGGAGAAGACATGATGGGTCAGGGGAAACCAACACCCATGGCGGGCAAAGGGGGAGCAATGGCAGTAAAACCGACAGGAGAAGCCCTGCTCCCAGCCTGGTGGGGACAGCATTTGGCTCTACCCTTGCCGCCGGCCTGACACCACGATGTGACCGGCTCAGTTGATATTAAGGAGACCATGCTCAAGTAGATGCTGAATTGGACCCTCTTCTCAACAAAGAATACATGTAAAATAAGTGTAAGGAATGTAGACAACACTCTCACTCACGGGATTTTATGCTGGTAAGTTCTTTGTGGTACAAAACCACCATTTTGCCTAATCCTTAACATTTCCAGCTGTACAGTAGAGCAGGATGACTCTCATCCCTCTCTATACTGTGTTTCCTAAACTAATTTATAAATGAAAAACCTTCTTTGCATTGTGGTCCAATAAAACCAACTAAAACCACTTTCTCAGAGATGAAAGCAAAGCCTGCCATGTCAAAAGCAACAAGAGGAGACACGCTACTTGGGTGCCCACTGCCTCTGCTGCGCGTATCCAGGGCTAATCCTCCAGTCACCTCCCAGGTTTAGGTTGGGAACGTTTCTCAGGGTGTAGCAGAGCTCAAGTTACTCTGATCTAATTTCCCATTTTATAGGGCTACGATGGGATCGCTGAGCGAGGAGGGTGTTAATGGGAGCCTGCTCGCAGACGAGGAGCCTGGCCCAGCAGGTTGATACTGGAGCTCTGCCTTTGCTGGCTCCAGTGAGGAGGGTTCGCGTGGCTCCCACGGGCAGGGAAGCTGTCACCCAGGGGTGGGAGCTGAGGACACTGCTCACAGCGATGCTGTTTGCTGCTGAAACGGTGCTTGATGCCACAGTGGCTGGAGTCGGTGACCCCCCAGGGCTCCCAAGGAGACGCCGAGACCGGTGCCCCTGTCGCGACTTCTCAGGAGTCTCCCTGGGGAAGCCGATGGGTCTGGGGTCTCCCCCCAACCTCAGGGGCATCTGCGGCCGGCCCGGACTACCCGCACAAACCCGGCTGGAACTGCTGCACAATTGGCTTCGTGAGAACGCTGCACGTCGGGGACACGAGAAGCTGCCAAGCCAAGGGCAGGAGCACGACGTGGGGTGCAGGAGCCCAGCAGGGTCTGTGGCGCTGCCGGGTTGGGACCCGGCGGGAGGTCAGGCCTCGGGATGACGCCTTCCACTCCCATCACTCCCCCTCCTCTGCCCACACAGGCTGCTCACAAAGAAACTAGTAATGATTAGCTAATTAATTAATTATAACTAATTCAACCACCGCGTCCTGTTGATTAACAGGGAGCTATCAATGGGCTGCACAAACAGGGGGGCCCGGGCGAGCCGCTGTCCCCGGCAGGGATGCAGGGGACAAAGCAGCCCCCGGCCCGGCAGCAGTGGTGCCCCCAGACCTTCCTATGAAGCCGTCGGGGGTGTCCGGCACCGGGAAATCTGGGGGCACCTCCGTGATGGGAAGCGCAAGCGGGACCTACCCGCTGCGGGACGGAGCAGGTTGGGCCCCGCGGGGCCACGGTTTCATTTCAGCACACACACACACACACCTCCCCCCCACCGTGGCACTTTGTCGCTGTAAACAGGGGGGAGCACACCCGGGACAGCCGCCGTCGGGCCGGATCCCAGCGCCTGGAAACTGTACCCAAACTTGGGGCGCGGCCCACGCGGGGACCCCCCGGCTTTC